TTTCTTTCTTTCTTTCTTTCTTTCTTTTTCTTTCTTTCTTTCTTTCTTTCTTTCTTTCTTTCTTCTTTCTCTTTCTTTCCTTTTCCTTCCTTCCTTCCTTCCTTCCTTCCTTCCTTCCTTCCTTCCTTCCTCCCTCCCTCCCTCCCTCCCTTCCTCCCTTCTTTCCTTCCTTATTTTTTGCTCCTTCACCTCAGCCTCAGTGATTCCATCCTCTGGGAAATACTTAGAAGCCAACCGTGTACTTGTGCAGTCTCCACCTATACTTTTTTCTTCTGTTTGTATCTCTGAGAAAGAAATAGCACAGGAAACCTACAAGATGAGTTGGAAATCCCACTCTTAAGCAGTCTGGTCAACTGGCCAGGAGCCCAGAAGAGAAATGGAGATTGAGATGAGATTAAGATTGAGAATGAGATTGAGATGCTTAGAAGGGAGTACAAGAGAGCACCAGCCTATCCTTTGCCCCATTGTTTGCTGCTTTGTGCATTTGAAGAAAAACAGTGGCTCTGGCTCCAAGCTGTTGTGGGAAATTGATCATTGCTATCATCCTATTGGCCATGACTGTGCAGTGGAGATAGAGCAGTAACTTCAAGGAAGGTGCTGAGCTAGATTTACCATGAACCCAATCAAACTTCACCTTCACTAACTTGGGCTCTTCTAAGTCCAAGGAGATCCCTTAGCAATTCTGTATTCATAATTTTGTTTTATTTTTCTTAAAGAGGTCCTCCCAAACTGTATAGACTTAGGCTCTACAAACCCCTAAGATTAGCATATGCTGAGTAGTCGAGCCAGTGTCCCCTAGAAATGCCTTAAAAGTGTCAGTGGCCTGCTTTATTAGCTGTCACAAGCCCACATGACCACTCTTGGGCCTACCTTTTCAAATTATATCAATAAGATTATTCGAAATAGGGGCTGGGGATTTAGCTCAGCGGCAAAGCGCCTGCCTGGCAAGCACAAGGTCGTGAGTTCGGTTCCCGGTACCGGAGAAAAACCAAAAAATAAAAAATAAAATAAGATTATTCAAAATTGAAGAGATAGGGCTTGGAATGTATGTACAGCATTTCCTAGCATGCTTGTGAGGTCCTGGGTTCAATCCCTAGCATCACAAAAAAAAAGAAAAAAAAAAAAAAAACAAGTACAAGAGATAATGTTGAAACCTTTACAAGGAAAGGCTATCAATATTTAGATTTCTTGAAGCAAGATTTTCATTTTCTTGCAGTGCTGGGGATGGAATCCAGAGCCTTGCAAACAAGCTAGACAAATGTTTCCCCCTTAAACTACACTCCATCACGGCCCAGTTGTTGTGATTTTTTTTTTTTTCCTCTTAGTTACTGAATTTAGTTAAATGTTTTCTATTGAAATTATACTTCTAAATAACAAGCAATTACAAAGGAGATGTTGAATAGACCTATTTTGCATACTCATTGCCTTGTCATTCCTTAGAAACACGACAGATAGAGGGTTAAAACCATGCAAATCTTGATGTCAATTTAGATGGACATTTATCATTATTTGTGAGATATGTCCACCATGGTTTTCACTTTAAAACCACAAATAAAGTTTTAACAATGGGCATTTTTCTTGTTGAGAAGCCTGTGGTCAGACTAAGCATCTCTCTACACTGATTAGATCTTGAGGTTTTCAAATTCAATATTCAGCAAATATAGAGCATTTCTTTGGCCATCAGAAATAATTAAGAACTTCAGAGCTAGTGCAACTCACCTGAGCCTGTTCCTTTTTTCTGATGACAAGATAATCAAATATAACCTCTTCTGTTGGTGGGCTTCACTATATTTGAGATTGAGGCAGAATAAATTACACACAAACTTTTGAAAATCTAGATGATATTATGTTGGGTTTTTTTTGTTTTTTTTTTTTTTACATTAGCAAGGCCTTCATTTGCTAGTATTCTAGTTGTGGTATTTTATGTTTTTAAAGAGTTTCTTTTTCCTCGTTCCCAATTTTCCTGAACCCAGAAGACAAACAGTCATTATGTGAAGACAAAGGAATATTGAATAGTTAATTATACAATAGCCAGAACTGTCCACTGTGTATTCATTCCTGTAACAGATCATTGGAGGGTGAATTAGCATATTTAGTTTCAAATCTTGTAAAATAGAAATGGGATTGTTGTAGCAGTTTAACAGTTTACATAGTAACCTCATACTGTATGGAGATCTGATACAAGATAATACAAGGGTCTAAATAGTGGGAGAGGGAATGGCTCTGTAAATGGGCCACGTGACAAGATGAATTTGATAATGTCTAAAGTCTACTTTTCCTGTATAAACACAGTATCACTGTAATCCTAGAGACTATGTTTGCTTTCTGAGAAACAAACCCTCTTCTAATGATATGCCTAACATAAAATATGTAAAAGTCATTGAATTGTTTCCTAGCATATTCATTGCTGGAAGGGCCTTCCATAAGTCACCAAGTTCTCCCCATCTCCAGCCAGGACTCTTCTTAACACTGAATATAGCTGTATAGTGATCTGCATTAAGAAAGCTTTTAAAGGTCCCTGGGGCAAGTCAAAAAATAGCTAATATTGGCCTGATTCATAGAACAGCATAATACGTATGTCAAAATAGCCACCTTCATCAAGGAAGACATCCATCAGAGCTGTTAAGTGCTAGTATTCACTTCACAAGGAAAAAGGTTTATTTTCTCAGAGAAGGTAGATTAAGAAAATGACCATGCGTGTTGCTACTTGCTGTTGTTTAGGCATACATCTGAATGCTTATCAAAAAGGAAATATTGCCCTGTGAAAGATCACTGCAGGAACCGTGGAAGTGGCCGGAAAGGAGCAGATCACAAGTCTTTTTGACTTGCTGCAGAACGGGGTGGGGCAGGGGGGTGGTTTAAAGAAAGTCCAATTTGAATCAGGTTATTGAAGGATAGATGATGAAACATAATACTGACAAATCCACTTTTTAAGGGATCTCTTTTCTCTCTGATTAGCTGTTTGTTAGAGCTAATTTTATTTCTTCAACTCCATTAAACTGTAGTGCAAAGGACAAGAACTGAAGTGTAATTTAAAACTTCCAAGATAACCAATCATATTGCCATTCTAAAAGTAATCCACTGTTTTTAGTCTTCTAAATTATTAATTTGAAATACTACACTGAAATCTAGGAATTTAGACCTGAGGTTCTTACCTACCTTAATTGGGACTTTAAGCCTTTCTGTTGAAATATAGAGAATTTAAAATGTAGCAAGAAAATGAGGAAAATTACCTAACCTGACAATTGCCTCAAATACTCGCTTGTTTTTGTTATATTTTTTTCCCTACTTACCTAAAAGCCTGGTCACCTATGGGGAACGGAGGAGAAATAAAATTAGAGAAAGTTTTGTGGGATTTTAAAAAATTGTATACATCTTGCCAATTTAAATTCTGTGTTTGTACCTATTCCAAGAAGTTCATTTGAAAACATTTCATTTTAAAAACAGAAAGGTATCCTCTGTGCTCTCTCAAGGCAGATCCTTGTCTGGGTTACAGGAAGTGGAAAGCCCTGATTGTTGGCCTCTCCCAAGCCTTCCTTGTAATTCTTGACTCTGGAAATGAGAATTCAGGCCAAGAACTTTTTGATGTGTAGTAAGCATCCTTCCTCAGAGAACACTAACCAAAAAATAGTCTTCAGGTTGCTCTCCTCTCCCTTTGGTGAGGACAGCGGACAAAAGAACAAGTAGATGTCCTTGGCTTTACAACGTTCCCACCATGGGTCCCTAACCCTTTAGTTAATGTGTAGTCTCCACACTCACCATAAAACTAGGGCACTTAAGGTAAGGAAAGCATTTTCTTGGTTACTTGGATATTTGGCAAAGTTTCCCCCTTTAAATTGCTCATGTAATTGCCCCTAACTTGCTATGTATGTGTGTATAACCTATAAGAGCTGTTATTTTTAAAAGTTATCAGTGTAAACAAATTCCCATAGCAGAATCAAGAAACTCCAAATAGAGGAAATGCAGAGTCAACTTTAAAGAGAATAAAGATGAAAAGTGTAGGAAATGTAGAGTAGTAGATTGTGTCATTTTATTACAAAACAGCTCAAACCCTTTACATGCTATGACATTAAATGTCATATGTAAGTTCATTGCAAGCAAACCCTTTTAAAAATATACATACTGTATATATTTACATTCAAGTTTGAGTAACTGATGCAAGGTGTAGTTCAGGTTCTAATCTTTACCCACCCTGTGAATTTATTCAGCTACTAACTAAATAGCGATTGTATCTTCACTCAGGCACATGGAGAGGTAGAAACTGCTTTTCAAAGAAAACAAAACTGGAGCACAAGTTTGTAAACAGATCATCATTGAAGCAGCTTGGCTACATCAAGGGGACCCTAACTAACTTTGGTCATCTCAAGAAGCTCAGTATATGTAGTCTGTTCTTTAAAGTAAAACCAGAACACTTCTGGGCAAATGGTCTTCTGCACACATCACAGGGTTGACAGGACTCAACTAACTGACCTGCCACTCTGCACCCAAGAATTGTATATGACTAAGTTAGGCAACAGCAGTGGAGCTGGGCTGGCAGGTGGGGACATATTTTTCCTGCTAAGACACAAATAAAATGCAAACAAATGGCTTAAAAGATATCAAATTAGTATCTGCATGTACACACACAGTCTGGAACTCAGGAGCCAACTAAGATACTATAGTTCCTTCCCAAGTGAAATGCCTACTAATTTTTGCTCACGCCCACCTCCACCCCAAACTGAGCTGCTAATCTATAGAGGGTTAGGGGTGTCTTCTGCCGACCAAGGATCTTCCACCTCAAGACTGGACCTCAGGAAGGCTCTTGGGCTTGAGAAGGGCTGCCCGGGTTCCTGCTACACTTGGTGGGACTCGTTCCTGAGAGGGGAAGGTGGAGGGAGGCCACAGAGGTGGCTGTAGCCAAAAGCCCCTCTCGTTCCCTTTTCTTCTGCTTCATCCTGCGGTTCTGGAACCAGATTTTGACTTGGGTGTCATTCAGCTGCAAGCAGTTGGCTATCTCAATGCGTCGGGCTCGAGTTAAGTACTTATTGAAATGAAACTCTTTCTCCAGTTCTGTCAGTTGCTTGGTGCTGAAATTCGTGCGAATCGCGCTGGAGGGGCTGGCGGCTCCATACTCCGCGAGTTTGCCTGCAAGGTAAAGACAGAGCATCAGGGGCGAGAGGATGTGTGGACAGAAGGCAGCGGGGCAGTGAGGGAAGCGATGGAACCAAAGTCACTGCGGGTCTCTGTGAACACAGTCGTGCCAGGGACACACTCCACCGAGAACTCCTTCCTCTAATATTCGCAGAGCCTAGCCCATTCTCCGAGCCTGGACTTGGGCACACTTAAAGGACCTGGCCTGTTTTAAACAAGGGATCCGAAGGTGTAGCCTCATAAAACCTCCACCGCTGTCTCGAGGGACAGTGACAACGCGCTCCCAGCGCGTTTGCACCGCGGAGGTGCCTGCACCAGCGCCCTGTACTTACTTTTCTTAGAGGCGTTCCTCTTTACTTTCATCCACTCGAATGTGCTGAAGGCGGCGGCGGGGAGGCCGGACGTGGGAGAGACGGACTTGGGGTAGGCGCCGGGGGCCGGGGACGCGGTCTGGAAGGCCCCGGGGGGGCCATCCGCGGGCTCTTTGAGACACGCCGGGAAGGGGCCCGTCTCGCCAAAGGCCGCATAATCCACCTGGCCGCTGAGGAGGAAGGAGCCGCCTCCGGAGAACACGGCCGAGGCGGCGTAGTGGACGTGCGCCCCGCTGTCGTCGGCCGGGCGCCCCAGAGCACCGGCGAAGTCGTACGCGGCCCCGGGCCCCAGGAAGCCGTAGTCCGC